AAGATATAACAAGTTTCTTTATGATAAACGACAAAGAAAAAGATATTAAAAAAAAGAGAATCTTTCCAAAATTAACTAAATTTTATGTTACAAAAGTTAAAAAATTTGTTCTATTTGTAAATGGTTAAGAAATAAAAGATGTAAATTAAAAATTAAGTATGAAATAATGTTAAACCTAGAATTTGATATTTGAATTTATCTATGTAAAATAATAATTTATTTAATCTATTGTTAATTAAGTAAAGCATTAAATAAATAACTTCTTTTATAATTTATTAGATAAACTTGGACTTTTGAATTTGTATTTAGAATATAAGAAGGAGTAAGGATAAATAAAAACTGAATTAGCTAATATTTTAATTTAGAATATTTTTAATAATCCTATTTTTGGAGGAAAAACTATTTTAATAAAAATTCTAATGATTTTTATGCAAGTTTTTTCCCTTTTGCTTATCCTTTAGTTTATGTAGTCAAAAATAAAATTCTATGATTATAAAATAAAATTAACATTTGATTAATATTATATAAGATTTTATCATAAATAATATTATTATGTATTACATATATGTAATTATATAATATTAATAAGTATTTATTTTAGTTATTATATTTTCTACTTTTTATAGTTAATTACTTTTAACATAACATTTTCTTTATTAATTTATTTATAATTATTTTAAATAATTAAAATATTTATATATTTCTTCAATTAATAATAGAATTAAGAAATTTTATATTATTATTGATTTCCTTTAATATCAAATATAAATTTAAACAAATTTAAAACATTTATTATTATAATTTTATATAATTATGATTTTATATATCTTGTTTTTATTTATTCAAATATTCAATATTATTAAAGATACTAAATATTTTTTTAATCAGCTAATTATTGAATTCTTAGATAATCCTTTTTTCTCTACTTTCCAAATATTAATTCAAGCCTCTATTATTTTTTTATCATATACATTTTTAATCATTTCTTCCATTTTATTTATTCTATTCTTCTTCCAATAATTTTAACATCTTTTGCTTTATTTTGTTTTATTTAATAATTATTATAATTTATTTACATATTATATATTGCATTTATTTACCTATTATATATTGTATTTATTATCACTATTAAAAATATACTAAGAAAAAAATTATTATTTTTTCTAATTCTTTAAATTGTTGTCTAAAATAAATTTATTTTTTATTTTATTCTATAAAATAAAAATAAAATAAATAATTATTGATTATTTTTATATTTTTTTTATTAATAGTTTTAATATTAAATAAAATTAAGAACTATTTAAAAATAGAATAGTTTTATAAGAACAAGCTATTTATGAAATTTTATTTAAAAAAACAATTTATAAAATTTTATATAAAAAAAAAAATATCATATATTATAGAATCAAATTATCTGATTTTTGTATTAATTTTTAATATTTACTTACATGCCTACTCTTTTTATATTATTAATAATTGTTTTAATTCTAATTTGAAATTTTTAAACTTTTATTAAATTTAATTCGTTTTCATGAATATATATTTTATCATTAGGTTTCTTTTTCATGCTTTTATGAATCTTTTTTATTTTTAGATTTATTTTAGTTATCTAATTATTTCTATTTAAGTTTTACTTAATCTAATAAACTCATTTTTTATATATATATCAATATTTCTTTGTTCTATTTTGAAATTAAGATTTTTGTAGTTATTATTTTAAATTATATTTTTTATTAATATTAATATTTCTTTTATTATTTTTGCAAATTTTACTTTTATCTTTTTTTAGGTTTTTATACTTCTTATGATCTTTCTTATTCAAAATATGTATTTTTTATTCAATTTTTTTTTACTATTTTAGTTAGTAAACTTATTTTATTCTTTGTAATTATACTTAATTTAATTTTTATAACCAATATACTATTTTAAATTGTAAAGATTATTTATTATTGATATTAAATACAAAATATAAAATTTATCTAATTTATAAGCTTTTTAATTAATTAAAACTTTTTTTTTTTTAGCAATTTATTTTTAAATATACATTTATTCTTAAATTTATTTTTTATAATTATAATATTTTTATTTTTCTTTTAATTTCTTTATTAATATGTTTTATAATTTGATTTAATAAAAATGATTTGGATATTAAAAAACTATTTTTCTTTTTTAAAATAATTTATTTTATCTTTAATTCTTTTTATTTCTCATTTTATTGTTTCTAAAAAAATTATTTACAAATTAAAAAAATCATATTCATTAACTTTTGAAGCATATTATTAACTTTTGAAGTATTATTAACAATTTGAATTATGTATTTTATTTTTTTAATTTATATTTTAACGCTTTTTGATTCGTATAAAAGTTTTTCTTTCTTTTTGTTTCACTACTTTTCAACTTTATTTTTTAAAAATATTAATCTAAATTCATATCATTATGTTTTTATTTTATTTCTTAAATTTTTATATTTATAATTTCTTAAGAAATAATTATTTATAATATACATTCCACTAAAAATATTAAATTATTTAATATGTTTTATTTAAAAAACTTTAATATTTTTATATATGATATATATATATATATCATATATTATCTTTTTATAAATGTTTTTAACTAAATATATATTTAAGATATATGTATATATACAAATATTTTATATAAATTAGTTTTTTTTATTTATTTTAAATAGAGTTTTTATTTTATAATTATATAAAATGGCTGCTAATTTTAATGTTGGTTTAATTATAAAAAATTAGATATTTTAGAATTATATAAAAAAAAATTATTAATATATAATTATTTATTAATATTTTTACGCAATAAAATATTTATTTATTTAAATTTATTATTATATGATTTTTATTTATAATATTATTTTAATAGAATCTTAATAAATAAAAAAATATTATTTACATTTCATTAAAAATAAACATATAATATTATTTTAAATTTTAAAAATAATCATTTATTATGAATCTAAACCTCATTAATATGTTATAAATTCATTTATAAATTAAGGACTTATTTATCATTAATTATTCCTCTTTTTTTATTATATAAAAATATATATATATTTAAATATACTTTGGACAAATTAACTTAAAGAATTCTAAATTTGTGATACATTCAATAGATTCACAAATATAAATAATATCATTTTATTTAATTTTACAGAAATTCAAACCTAATGATATTCTTTTCACTTTCTATTATTTTTCACATAAATATTGCATTAAATCATCAATCTGTTAACTTTATAATTCCATTTTATTAAAAACAAAAGAAAAATCAATTATTTATTATGGAAGGTTTAGAAGCAAATCGTATATAGATTTGAAAGATATTTTGTTAGTACTTAATTACGTATAAATAAATTTTATGAATTATTATATATTTACAAAGATAAATCCAATTTAAAATCTTGAAGATTATTTAATAATTTCAAATTTTAAGCAATCTCATTAATACCTAAATCACTTAAATTATCATCCCCACCTATAAAAAGCTATATTTTTTGAATATTTTAATACTAATTTATAAAACCAACTAGAATTGATATATTTTAATCATTTATTTAATTTCTTTATATTTTTATATATAAATTAATATTATATTTTTATGTATATTAAAATTATTTTACTATAAAAAAACTTTAAATTATTAATTTCATTAGTGTTTTATTCTTATTTTACTAATTATTAAATTGATGTAATTGATAAGTTTTAACATATTTTCGCAATACTTTTCCTTTTTTCTTTAAATGATTTTCTAATTTCTCTTTTTTATGCATAAGCTTATTAATCTTCCAATTCTTATTATTATTAATGGAGTTATTATTTCATATATTATTCAATAATATGTTTTTTTAAAACTGTTTAATCTTCATTATCTTAATTTTATTCTTATTATTTTTCTTCTTCTTAATCATCTACGTTAAATTTATAAGTGTTTTCAATAATTTACAATGCTTCATCTAATTTCATCCTTTAATCTTTTTTATAATTAATAAAACCTCTTATGATTAAATCAATAATGTTATCTTAATATTATTTTCCGTAAATATATTTGTTAAAAATTTTTTCTATTTAATAATCATGGTCTTCCTAATCAACTTATACATTTATTTATCTTATTTCTTTATAAGAAACACCAGTACATCTTTTTATAAGCATATAATATATATATAATATAAATTAAACAAAATACCTTAGCAAAGTCATCCCTAAAGAATAAATATCTCCCTAAAAATAATTAAATTTTTATAAATCATAACTTTATAATTCTGGTGCTTAATACCCAGGAGTAAAAAATGTGTTTTTCCTTAAAGTTGTTGTATTTTGATGTTCTAATTAATGAGCACTTCCCCAATCAGAAAGTACATATTCGCTTAATTTTCTGACTAAAACATTCTATGGTTTTATATCTGAGTGAGCTAGATTTAAACTATGAGCATATTTTAAAACTTGTATCATTTATTTTGATAATATTATTAATTGCTTTTATGGTATTTTTTGTATTTAATTTAATAAGGCCTCTAAAGAACCTAAAGGAAAATATTCCATAGCTATAAATATTTAGTTTTATATTTAAATATGAGAATATATTTCAATTATGCTTTTTTAATATTATTTGTGTTTATTTATTTTTTATACAAAAATTATTTCTTGGCTTAGTTAATGAAGTATTTATTCGTCTCCAGATGTTATTTTTTTTATTGCAAATTAATTTTTATCTTTTTTTAATAAATAAATTGTAGAAAAACCTCCTTTATTTATTTATTCAAGATCATTTTCAAATTCTGAATAAAATATTTCCATATTAACTATTTTTTTTAATTTATATATATTATTATTAATGTATAATTATAAAATTTTATATTATTTAAAGTTTTAATTAATTCATATTAATTTAAATATAGACCGTAAAACAATATAAAAGCATTATAAATCAAATTAATAATTTAAATAAATATAGCTATATATAATTATAGAAATAAATCAAATATTAAGTCCATCTTTCTTTAAGTCAGGGAATCCTTAGTTGCAAATAGTAACATTATGGTATCCTTTTAAGCTTAAGATAGTAGCAGCCATTTTAGATCTAGCTCCACTTTAACAGTAAACAAATATTTCTTAATCTTTAGGTAATTCCATTAACTACTTTCCGAGTAAAGGAAGTGGAATATTTTTCGCATTTTTAGACATTCCAGCATCTGTCTCGGATTTATTTCTGACATCAAGTATAAAATTAGATTAATTATTTGCCTTTTAAACGAATTGCTTAGTATCTAAATGCTTCAAAGGTATAATAGGTAATCCACAATTTATTCCACTTTCAATAAATCCAATGATTTTTTCATATCCGATTCTATATAATCTTTAAGCTGCTTCCTATTCTTTACCTTTATCTGTAAGAAGTATTAAAGAAATATCGTGTTAAATAAGAGTTCCAACCCAAACAGCAAAAGGTGTAGATAGTCCAATATTAATTGAATTTTCTAAAAATCCTAATGAAATATCATCTCTGCAATCAAGAATTAGAGCTTAATTTTCTTTAATGATTTTCTCAATTTCTTTTGCGTTTTTAATAACTTTTAATTCATTCTTTTTGTTTTAATCTTAATATCCTTATTTGTTCAAAGCAGCATTATAATAAAAATATTGAGGAGGAGGATGCAATTCACTTGTAACGACTTTTATGAAGTCTTCCTTTTTCATTTCTTATAGAGCGTAGTTATTTTTCTTTTACATCCCTACTGAGCAAGAATGTCCTTTTAATATATTTTTTCCACAGGATGAACCAGCTCCGTGTGATGGAAAAATAATCACATTATCAGGTAATGTTAATATTTTTTAATGCAAACTGTCATAAAGCAAACCTGCGAGGTCATATTCAGTTATTTTACCAGATTATACTGCTAAATCAGGTCTTCCAACTTCTCCAAGAAATAAAGTATCTCCTGTATATACAGAATGAGGTTTATCTTAGGAATCTAAAAGCAAAAAGCAAGAGCTTTCTAATGTATGCCCAGGGGTATGGAGTATTTTTATTTTACATTTTCCGAATGAAATTATCTCATTATCTTTAGCTTCTTTAAAAGAATATTTAGCCTCTGCATTTGGACCATATACTATTTAAGCTCCTGTTTTTTATTATAAAGAAAGATGCCCAGAAACAAAATCAGCATGAAAATGAGATTCGAAAATGTATTTTATTTTTGTATTACGTTTTTAAGCTATCTCTAAATATGGTTCAGGCTCTCTTAAAGGATCTATTATTATTGCCTCCCCAGCTGATTCTAAATAATAGGAATATAGTGATAAACACTTTGTATTAAGTTATTATATATAAAAATCGGGAGCTTCTATGGTATTTACTGTAATAATTTAATAAGTTGATGATGAGAAATTATATTTTAATGAAGGGTATTTTGGTAAAGATAATTGTGTAAAGGGTTGAGTTTAAAATTGATTTTGTAAAGATTTTATAGAGATGATAGAAAACCGGAAAAATGAAGGTTTTTAAAAAGTTAATGTTTTTTAGTAAAGTTTTTAGATTCTTTTGTTTATCATTTTTATAATTTTTTTCTTTTTTTTCTGACAATATTTAATAAAAAAATTAAATTAATTTTTATTTTCAATAAAGATTTTTATAAAAATAATATATAAGATAATAGGATTGTGTTTTTATAAAAAAAAAATACCTAAAAGTAATAATTATTTAAAACATAATATTTATATATTTTTCTTAGTATTTTTATATTGGACAATACTGAGAAAACAAATTTGAAATTTTTATTTTTATAATATATATAATTATTATTTTTATAACTTAAAAAATATTTTAATATTAATATGTTATGATTTTAATTTTAATTATTAAAACTAATATAAGATAGATTTAGGTTATTAAAATTAAATATTTTATTAACATTATTAATATATTAGTTAAATATTATTTAAATATAACATTTATTATGTAATTAAAAAAATAAAACTTAATTATGTTGTTATGAATTATTTTTGAAACAAAATATATTTTTATATACATTAATCATTATATTAAACATTCATTAATGATATTGACATATTACTTGTTTATATTGTTATTTTATATATATTTTTTTTTTAAACACGATAAAAAATTATGTTTGTTATTCATTTTTTCTCACTTTTATTTGGTTAATTGAATTTTTTTAAAAAAAATTACAGAAAAAATAACTAATATGAACAAAAAATATTTCTAAAAAGAAAAAATCTTTAAATAAAATATATATACTAATTCTACTAAATTTTGAAAAATATTAATAATTAAATTTATATAGTTATAGACATATATTTTCTATTTTATATACAAAAACCAATGAAAAATAATATTTCGAATAAAAATACTTTAAAGTAGATAATAAATATAATTTTGTAAACAAAAAATATTAATTAAAAAAATGTTAAATAATTAATAACAAGAATAAAATAATAAATGTTTTATATAAAAGTTTATATTAAAAAAAAAAGAAGATAATATTATAAAAAAATTATTTTAATTAAATATTTTTTACTATATATATTAATACAAATATATCTAAAAAATAAACAAAATTATATTTTAAAAATAATAAAACAAGTTATCTAAATATTTAATATAATGGTTTTTTTTTTTCAAATAGGTCTAAATTTATACAATTAACTAGGATTATTAATAGAACTAAGACATGGTCCAATTGATCTTAAATGTATTTCTAAATCTTATAATTTACTATTTAATAAATATATAAGAATATAATCTTAAAAGAAGTCTTTTGAAAGTTCTTTTAAAAGAATTTTAAATTATCGAATTTATGGGCTTTCATCAGCCCAAACAGTCCAACCATCAATAAAATCTTTTTTATTTTCAAAACGAATATCTTTTTTTAACCACTTTTAGAATTCTTTTAATTTATATTAATTATTCCCTAGACTTCTTAAAGCTTTTTATGTAAAATGAGTATGAAAGTTAACAAATTTTCTGAAAATATTCCCGAAATTTTTAAAAATATTTCTATGTCTGCATTATTAATATTTACTTCTTCCTTTATTTCTTACAGGCCATTCAGTTTTATGCCTTGTATGACTTTCTAAATTGTCATCTTCATGATCATTATGATTTTATAGATTTTCATCTTTGCTTTTTTCTTGTTTTTCAATTATTGTGTCTATTTGTTATTTCTGTAAGAAATTGTTATTTGTATTTTATCTTTACAAATCACTAAAAATATAATTATTATTGTTTATTTATTATTAAGAATATGCTGGGTTAAAATATTAATTATTTCCAAAAAAATATGGATTTTAATATTATTCTAAATTAAAATTATTATTATTATTTATCAAAAATTGCTAATTATTATAATTATCTAAACCATTATAATAATACTGTCTATGCCCACCAATTTATTATTGTTATTTTTATGTATTGTATAAAGGAAATTATTAGTTTTAGAAGTCAAAATTTTATTCTTCTTTTTATAATGATGCCAATTTTTTCATTTCTAAACTTTAATTTATGCTATTGTTTATAGATAGTTTTGGCTATAATTAAGTTAAAGTATAGTTTTCTATATTTTGTGCATCTTCAATTAATTTTATATTTGTGAAACTTGGGTTTTATTAGAAATTATTTGTATTGTTAAAAAATAAACCCGAGAATGGTAAATTATTTGTTTACATATTTATTTATTTTTCTTTTTTTATTTATTATTTCCTATATATATATATATATATTTTATAATTATTAATGAATATAATTTTTTCTCTTGATTTATTTTTTTACAAAAATTATATACTTTAATTTGTTTTATTAAATAATTTTATAATTAATAATTTTGTGATTTAAAATTTTAAAGATTAATTTTATCTATAAAATTTTTATAAATAAAATTATTGTTTAAAAATATATATATAGAAAAATTTTAAATATTAAAATTATAAAAAATTTATTTTATAAAATTAATATTAATTGATATTCATTTTATAAATTTTTAAAAAATCTTATAAATATAAAAGATATAAATAAAATAATTATTTTTATTAATAAGATATAAAAATATAAAATATTATAATTTTAATTAATAAATTAATTTATAATTATAATATATAAAAATAAACAAAAATATTAATTTCATTTATTATATAAATATAATTTTTTAATTATAAAAATAAGTCTATAATTTAAATCGAAAAAACAATTATTATTATAAATTTTAAGATTATATATAATAAATTATATTATTATCTTATATATTAAGAATATCTTTTTTTTATTTTTAAATACTTTTATCAATACTTTCCAATATACAATATTTATATTTACTTTAGATTTTAATAAATACATGTAAATAAAAAACTATATATTATATTTATAAAATATATTTTTTTTATTATGTAATTCATATATAAATTATACTTATTAAATTATCTATATAATCTTTTTAAATTTTTTATTATATTTTTTTTAATTTACAAATATACTGATATTGCATTATTTTTAGAAAATTTTAAATCTTAATTTTTTATTTATTAATTATTTTTTTATTTTTTATAAATCATCTAATAGCTTTATTATTTTTTATAAGTTATACTGTTTATTTTTATTAATATTATTCCTTTTTTCTTTGATTTTTTTTAATTCTTCTTTTTTTTAATAGATTAGATACTTGTTTTATTTAATGCTTATTATTGTTCTTACTTTAAATTTTTATAAGTATTTTTTTTATAAACAAAAGTTTATTTATTTTTATTTTTATAATTAATATAGTTTAGTTTATCATAAAATGTCTCTTATATAAATTATTATTTATTTTCTAAACACTATGTATCATTTTTATTATAGTCGTATCTTCTTAATTTCTCAAATAAATTTTAATAGGTACAACTATTTTTATATATAAGCAGATATTTTTTTTTTTAAATTTGAATGATTCTTTCATTATTTTATATGATGTACATAATTTATTAAATGATTTATTTCATTATAGTTATTTACAAATTGATTTTAAAAATATAATCTATTTTTATGCATTTATTTATATTTAAAAATTTTAACTTTTAATTTATATATAAAGAATTTAAATATATTGTTTTTTTAAATATATATGTAAAATTGAATATTATAAAAAATATTAAATAAATTATCTTTAAAATTTTATTCAATAAAATTTTAAAAATAAAATAAGTTTTATAATTTATGAAATATATAATAAAGTTTTTTATACAAATAATAAAATAAAATAAAAAAATATAATATAATATAATTTTTTATATATTCTAAGCTCAATTCAATTATTTTGATTTTAATCTGAATTATTTTTTTTAATATTATCTTAAGAAATATCTTTGAATTCAATTTTATCTTAAAATCCTGAAATTATTTATTCAAAACTCATGTTAAGTTATCTAATTTAACTTAAATTTTACTCTTGATTTTTTTAATCAGAAGATAATTTTTTTTTAAGTTCATAATTATTTTATATTTATATTTATAAATTTTATTAAATTCTTTGGTCAATACTTAAAAAAATATCTTCGTTTTCTTAATCTTCAAAAGAATAATATTCAGTTTTATCTCCAGAACTAATTTAATTAATTTTATTTTATAAGCTCTCATTAACTTAATCAATTACTTTAATAACTTTATCTTTGAACTTTCTTTATTTAATTGATAAATCAATTTAGTTTTTTTAAAAAAATAAAATTTATTAGAAAAAGTCGTTATCTATTTCTTAAGTTTGCCCTTTTTTCTGTATTATTTCTTATAAATTTTTCTCTACTAATGTATTTAATTCCTCAATATTTTATATACATTCTTCAATAAAATTATCTTTTTTTGTTAAAAATTTTTATTAATATTATTTTTATGTTATATCTTCCATTACTTTTTCCATTTTCTCATTTAATATTTGGAAATTTTTTAAATATTCTTAATAATCTATTATAAAAGAATTATTTTATTCTTCTTAAAAAAATGATATTTATGAAATTTCGTTTTCCTTAAATTAGTTATTTTAGTGAATTTAAACTTTTAAACCTTTTATTTAATCTTTTTAAGCTTAATTTTCTTTTTATAATGTCTAAATTAAAATTTCTTTTTCATTTAAAGACTATTTATTTTTATTATATTATATTATTAATTCTTATATTTAATATTCAAGTTCTTTTGCCTTAATAGAATAATTAATTTCATTTTTTTAATTAAAATTATTTTCTTGTTCACTTTGGCTTTCATGGGTAATTATATAATCTGATTACTCATATAAATTTATGTTCATTTTTTATTTTGTTTAAATATTTAGTTTAATAAAATTAGTTATGAGTTCATTTGTAATATTTTTATCAAAACTTTAAAATTAGAATTCTTACTCTTTTTTCAAAATATTTAAAAGACTTTTATTATCCTCCTCTTTTTACCCTTGCTTTTATTATTTTTATTCAAATTGATCTAATTTTTGACTTAATTAAGTATTTATAGATTAGATTGCTTTTATAATTTTTCGCTTGCATTATTTTTATTTATTAGGTATATCTATTTACATTTTTTCTATTTAATCCAATATTTGATTTTCTACTTAACTTTCTTTTTCTTAATTATTTTCTAAATTAATTTGAATTTTAAAAATTATTGAATTTATTGCATTATTGAAATTTTAAATTAATTAAATAATTTCATTTAATAAGTTTTCTTTTATCTCATTTTTTTATGATTTTGAAAGAAATTCTTCTATTTATTTATTTAAATTAAATATTTCTTATTCAAATTAGAATTCTTCATTATTTTTAACAGCAATTTAATCATTTAATGTCTACTAATGTTATTTCTATAATTCAAACTCATTTATTATTTTCTTTTTTTCGTCATTTTATATTTATAGACTTTAAATTTTCTCTTCTAGCAAGGCTTTTTCTTTAATTAAATTTTCATCTTTAAATGTTTTATTAAAGAAACTTTTATTTATATCAATAATTTCATTTTGTTATAATAAGATTCTTTTTTAAATTTCAAAAAAACATTGACTATTTTCCAATATTATATTTTGAGAATTTTCATTATTTATGTTTTCTTATTATTAAAAGAGATGTTAGCTTTGCTATTCTATTTATGTTTAAAGTTCTTAATTTATTTATACTATCTCATTTAATAATAAATTTTGTTCTTTTTATTATTTATCATTCGTTAATTTAAATAATTCGGAATTATTATATGATTAATTTTCTATTTTTTTCAGATAATAATTTATTTTTTCTTTATATACTTATTCACTTTCTTCATTTAATTATATATTATCATTTAGATTTAATTATTTTTCAATTTAATTTTTTATACTGTATATAATTTCAACTATTTCTTATTTATTTTTTATTTATTTTTAAAAAATTTAATTTTATATTGATTTTAAATATTCGAATTCTTTATAATTTATGTCTTATGTTTTTTATGTTACTTATATTTTTTAAAAATTAATATTAGTTAATTGTTTATCAATCTTTTCATTTAAATTTTTTATATACTCAACAAAAATTTATATTTCTTATTTATTCTCATGTTTTGATTTTATTTAATTTAATGTATTATTAATATCTTAATTTAAAGATTAGATTTATTAAATAAAATTTTAATTAATTAGGTCTAATTCTAATTATTTTATTTATTGATATTTTTAATCTATTAAGTCTTCTTTTTCTAATATTATTTCTTGCATATTTTAATTTGTTTTTTGATTTTCTTCAGTCAATTCTTCCAACTTTTTTAACTATTTTTAAAAATCATCAAACTTTATACACGAACAAATTTATTAACTATTTTTATATAAACTATTTTTTAGAAAATTTATAATTTCTTATTATTATTAATTAATAGTTTTTTATTAATTAAATATTTCTAATTCTTTTTAGTAGATTTTTCCAAAGACATTTTACTTTTCTTCATTATTTTCTATTAAAAGTCGATTATTTTAATTAACGATTTCTTTTTCTAGTTATTTATTCAAAATTTAAATATCTTTTACTTAATTTTCTTTACTTATATTATCTTCTATATTATTAATATATGAACAATCTTAAATTTTTAATTCTTTAATTTTTTCTAAGAACAGATCATTCTCGTTTTCAAATTATTTTTAATATTTTAAATCTTATTGCACTTTATCTATATCTTCACAAATTTTATTATTTATTTCATTTATATTTTTTATTATATTCTATTCATATTTTCCCACATTTAAATTTTAATTCACGATTATTTTAAAGTTTTCATTTATTTTTTAATTTAAATCTAGAATATTTTTTAAAAAAGAGTGAAAAATATCTTCTTAATTTTAGCAATTTTAATTTAAACTTTACATATTTAAGAATATTTTTTACAGATTACAATCAATATCTTCATTTAGTTTTAAAATTTCTTAAAATAAAACTTATTTTTATAATAATTAATATTCACTCTCTTAAATATTATAAATTAAAATGTGTTTGGAGTTTTATCATAAATAATTAAGTTTTATTATTATAATTATATAGTATGTTTTAAAAAATTATTTTCGTTTAAGAGTTTATTTATTATTAA